GTAGGAATGGTATGCTCTTCCATTCCGAGGGAGCATCGTATGTACGTATGCTTCCCTTTTAGTACGTGCGTACATATACTTTCGATACTGTACGTACGTATCCGTTGCACTCCGTTCTGGCAAGTTATTCTTGGCAACTTCCGTACAAATACTAATAAAAATTTTTAGCTCATTTTTACAGTTAAAACCAGTTTAAAAAGGCATCTAAAGGACAAAATAAAAATATTTCTGCATTTCCATTATTTAGTAATTTCTTGCTGGTCCCAAAATATTTCTACAATTAGTAGTCCTTACTGCTGGGGATATAATATCAGTGGTTACTACTTGAAAATTTCCATTAGGGCTTAGCTAGTAGTACTAGTACTAATGGACAACCTCTACTATTAGAACTACTACTTACTACTGGGAATGTTGAAGTAAACTAGCTAGTGAGCACTACGAGCCTCTCACACCAGCCCCACCAACAGATCACCCTTAGTAGTACTACTACCCAGCAGCAGTTTGCAGTGCTCACTACTACAACATTCCCAGCACTAGTAAGTACTAGTAACAATAGAGGTTGTCCAGTAGCAAGCCCTAATCAAAATTTTCAAGTAGTAACCAGTGATATTATATCCCCAGCAGTAATGACCACTACTAATAGAAATATTTTGGGACAATTTTTTTTGTTTGGAGGGGGAGAGAGGGGAAATAAATACAGGAAAATGAACAAAATTGACAGCTGGGGAATTTTCAATAACTTGCCACCAGGGCCCTCCAGTACCCATGTGCACATCCCCCTTTTTGAATTCCTCCCCTAGAAAAACATGGGTTATTTTTGGTGAAAAATAACCCACATTTTAAAGAGGTGGGTTATTAGTACATGGGAAAAATAACTCATGAAAGAACCCAAGAACCTACAAATACTAACCCATGAAATAACCCACAAAATAACCCACGAATAACCCACAAATTTACAGTCATCTGGGTTGATGGAGAACCAAGGATGTAAAGTATATTAGTCATTAATGTTATTTAATCACTGTTTTCAATTTTTTAAAATAGGCCCAGCAGGTTCATGGGTTATTCATGGGTTAATTTGTGGGCATGAGGTTCTAATCGGAACTTCGGAATTTGTGACATCTCTATTCTTCGTGAGGTATTCTTGAATAGTATCTTAGACCTCTCACGATCCTCAACTGAGGGATMGTATGATACATATATATGAATAGTATATTATGATATGTAGGTAGGAATGGTATGTCCTTCCATTCCGAGGGAGCATCATATGTACGTATGCTTCCTCTTCAATACGTACGTATCCTATCCAATACGTACGTATCCTATCCGGTACGTACGTATCCGTTGCATTTGTGGGTTATTTTGTGGGTTATTTGTGGGTTAACCCAGGAACCCACGTTTTTGGATTGTGGGTTATTTCATGGGAAAAATAACCCACAAAATCATGCCCCCGATGTTCAATTTCAAAGGGGGAAGCGTGTGTGTTGGTTCTGGAGGGCCCAGCATGGGGCTTGCCTTTAGTAGTAGCTCTATCCCACACACTACGTACTCTACTTCTACTAGCTCGTAGAAGTAAATCATAGATGTGTTACTACGCGTTGCAGATCACGTGCCTAAAAAAGGAAGAAGGGATCTAAAAAAGAGGAAGAAGAGGACACCTCACTGCTAACTTTCAGACTGTTAAGCAGAGCATTCAGGACGTTAAATTGAAGCAAAAACAACAGTACTCATTTCTACATAGCCTACGCTGCTAACATTCTGTACTTTAAATTAACATTTGGAACTATATTTTAACATTACTACTACACATAAAATAACAATTGATTTTTCGTTAATTGAGGCATTGGGAACGTTAATTTAACATTCCGAATGTTAATTTAACATTCCGAATGTTAATTTAACATTCGGAATGTTAAATTTATCGTGTAGGCCTATGTAGATCCTAGTATTATCCACATTCTGCAATTGTTAGCAAGAGTCTTGCACATGCCTAGTAAAAAGGAAGAAGAGATCTAAAAAAGAGGAAGAAGAGGACGCCTCCCCTGCTAATATTCAGACTGTTAAGCAAAGCATTCAGGACGTTAAATTGAAGCAAAAAATACAGTCTCATTTCTAGGCAGCCTACGCTGGTAACATTACGTTCCCAATGCCTCAATTAACGAAAGTTCAATTGTTATTTTACGTGTAGTATTTTCAATTGATCCGCAACGCATAGTACGGGTACCGCCTAAGCTTTAAAAAGATACCTTTTCGTACCATACCAGAACAATGGTGCAGAGAAGTACGATTCGACTAGATGTCGAGAACAGACAATTCATTGATAACCAGACCGTATCGCATTGTAAATGGACAGAAGCACAGTACCGTACGTAGTACTCGTACGTAATCTTCCTACGGATTACGAGTAAGGTATCTCTCGTATCTCGTACACATTGTGCCCTGCAGTAATAAATAGTAGGTACTAGTAATGAAGTACAAAAAAATAGAAGTCAGCAGTCAGCCCAACGCTTGCCAATTGGAAGTGAAGACCCGAACGTGACTCTTTTTGAAAAAGGACGGACAGACAAACCTTCTAATCCCGTCTGAGGGATGTCAAGTCCTGAGTCATCCAGAAATGGGAGTGTTCAAGAATCTATTTTCACATTATAGATCACAATTATATAATAGATACGTATTTCACATTTCCCCTTGACCCCGATGCATAGATCATTGAAACGGGAAAAAAATCATGAAAATGAAGGGACGGAAATGATCGAGGGGTTCCGAACCATCGCTGGCTCAGTCGGATTCATCGAATAACGCAATTTTCTCTGCGGAGATGAATCACTATTATATCATCTATCGCTCTCCCTAAGGATCCCACAAAAGAAACTTTTCGAGAAGAAAGAGATTAAGCTATCATTATGACTGGAACGAACGGAAATGGAAATGGCAACGGCAGCGCCGTTGTCGGAACAAGTACTGTGAAGCAGGGTCTTGCACAGATGCTGAAGGGTGGAGTCATCGTAAGTTTCCGGTTTTCTTCATTTCTTTTCGTGCGCAACGCCTTTCCGAACTGAAATTCATGTCGTCACATTTGGATTCAAAGCAATATTATTACGCGGAAAAATCTTGTGAATCTAATGAGAGAACATCAATCCCCTGCTTTGCACGCTCGCAATTTCGCATAAAACTGTTGTCGTCGAATGATTCGTGTCTTCTTACCTTCCGCCGCTGGGTTATCCTTTGCTATTTCACCATACTACATGCGCATAGATGGATGTCATGAATGTTGAGCAAGCCAAGATTGCCGAAGCTGCCGGTGCTGTCGCTGTAATGGCATTGGAACGCATCCCGGCCGATATTCGTCGTGATGGCGGTGTAGCAAGAATGTCTGATCCTTCTCTGATCCAGGAAATCAAAAATGCTGTCACCATTCCAGTCATGGCTAAGGCTCGCATTGGCCATTTTGTTGAGGCACAGATCCTCGAAGCTTGTGAAGTTGACTACATTGACGAGAGTGAAGTACTCACTATGGCCGACGACGTCCATCACATCGACAAAACTCAGTTCAGCGTGCCTTTTGTATGTGGATGCCGTAATCTTGGAGAGGCCCTTCGACGAATTGCCGAAGGAGCCTCCATGCTTCGAACCAAAGGGGAGGCAGGTACTGGAAATGTTGTAGAGGCTGTCCGTCACGCCCGACAGGTCCAAGGCGATATCCGACGTCTTCAAACCATGAGCAAGGATGAGCTCTTCGTCGCAGCGAAGGAGCTTCGTGCCCCATATGATCTCGTCAAGCAGATTGCTGAGGATGGCAAACTCCCAATTGTCAATTTTGCTGCAGGGGGTGTCGCCACTCCTGCTGATGCCGCCTTGATGATGCAACTCGGTGTGGATGGCGTCTTCGTTGGTTCCGGAATTTTCAAGTCGGCTAATCCTGAAGCTCGCGCACGCGCTATCGTACAAGCGACAACTCACTACAAGGACCCCAAGGTATTGATGGATGTGTCTACGGGTCTTGGTCCCGCCATGGTTGGAATTTGCGACATCAAAGGAGATCCTGTCAACTTCCGTGATCGCGAGGGTGGTGAATACACATACAGTGGAAAGGTTCCTCCAAAGAAGGAATTGAGTGGGTACACAGAGACCCAGATGTACGGTTCATCGTGGAACAACTAGACACGAAATCAGATGATACAATTTAATTTGGATGTCTGACTGAAAATTCCTATGCACACACTTCCATAGAACTTCATAGATAATAATCAGATATTGAAGAAGTACAATGCCGCTATTTATCAGATGGGCGACAAAAACCTTAAGTGAGACTACTTATATTAGTCAAAGCGTTTTTTGCGGTGATCATTATTGTCAGCTATTGAAGTAAGCATTCAACGTCGTCAACTTTTCAATAGCTTTCAATGCAGACGAAAAGTACCGTGAAGTGATGTTTTCGAAGATTGTCTTCTTTCTCCAGCTCGTCTGATATCCTTCACCTCTTTCATTCCAAGTCGAAAAGGATATCAACTTTGGCGACGTTGAACTTTACCTCAGCTCCCCTCGCGCCACATGTTCATGTTAAGATCAGTCATCCGACACCGAGAAGACCACGCATATTCTAATGCAGAGTGATTTTTTTTGTTCTGTACATCTTTTAGAACATGATGTAAACTATAATAGCTCTTCCTCGCTCCCAGGCTCGTCAGCGCCTCTGTCCCAACTTTCGTCACCATCATCATCATCATCATCATCATCATCATCATCATCATCATCATCATCATCATCATCATCATCATTATCATCATCATCATCATCATCATCATCATCATCATCATCATCATCATCATCATCATCATCATCATCATCATCATCATCATCATCATCATCATCATNCAATTGTTAGCAAGAGTCTTGCACATGCCTAGTAAAAAGGAAGAAGAGATCTAAAAAAGAGGAAGAAGAGGACGCCTCCCCTGCTAATATTCAGACTGTTAAGCAAAGCATTCAGGACGTTAAATTGAAGCAAAAAATACAGTCTCATTTCTAGGCAGCCTACGCTGGTAACATTACGTTCCCAATGCCTCAATTAACGAAAGTTCAATTGTTATTTTACGTGTAGTATTTTCAATTGATCCGCAACGCATAGTACGGGTACCGCCTAAGCTTTAAAAAGATACCTTTTCGTACCATACCAGAACAATGGTGCAGAGAAGTACGATTCGACTAGATGTCGAGAACAGACAATTCATTGATAACCAGACCGTATCGCATTGTAAATGGACAGAAGCACAGTACCGTACGTAGTACTCGTACGTAATCTTCCTACGGATTACGAGTAAGGTATCTCTCGTATCTCGTACACATTGTGCCCTGCAGTAATAAATAGTAGGTACTAGTAATGAAGTACAAAAAAATAGAAGTCAGCAGTCAGCCCAACGCTTGCCAATTGGAAGTGAAGACCCGAACGTGACTCTTTTTGAAAAAGGACGGACAGACAAACCTTCTAATCCCGTCTGAGGGATGTCAAGTCCTGAGTCATCCAGAAATGGGAGTGTTCAAGAATCTATTTTCACATTATAGATCACAATTATATAATAGATACGTATTTCACATTTCCCCTTGACCCCGATGCATAGATCATTGAAACGGGAAAAAAATCATGAAAATGAAGGGACGGAAATGATCGAGGGGTTCCGAACCATCGCTGGCTCAGTCGGATTCATCGAATAACGCAATTTTCTCTGCGGAGATGAATCACTATTATATCATCTATCGCTCTCCCTAAGGATCCCACAAAAGAAACTTTTCGAGAAGAAAGAGATTAAGCTATCATTATGACTGGAACGAACGGAAATGGAAATGGCAACGGCAGCGCCGTTGTCGGAACAAGTACTGTGAAGCAGGGTCTTGCACAGATGCTGAAGGGTGGAGTCATCGTAAGTTTCCGGTTTTCTTCATTTCTTTTCGTGCGCAACGCCTTTCCGAACTGAAATTCATGTCGTCACATTTGGATTCAAAGCAATATTATTACGCGGAAAAATCTTGTGAATCTAATGAGAGAACATCAATCCCCTGCTTTGCACGCTCGCAATTTCGCATAAAACTGTTGTCGTCGAATGATTCGTGTCTTCTTACCTTCCGCCGCTGGGTTATCCTTTGCTATTTCACCATACTACATGCGCATAGATGGATGTCATGAATGTTGAGCAAGCCAAGATTGCCGAAGCTGCCGGTGCTGTCGCTGTAATGGCATTGGAACGCATCCCGGCCGATATTCGTCGTGATGGCGGTGTAGCAAGAATGTCTGATCCTTCTCTGATCCAGGAAATCAAAAATGCTGTCACCATTCCAGTCATGGCTAAGGCTCGCATTGGCCATTTTGTTGAGGCACAGATCCTCGAAGCTTGTGAAGTTGACTACATTGACGAGAGTGAAGTACTCACTATGGCCGACGACGTCCATCACATCGACAAAACTCAGTTCAGCGTGCCTTTTGTATGTGGATGCCGTAATCTTGGAGAGGCCCTTCGACGAATTGCCGAAGGAGCCTCCATGCTTCGAACCAAAGGGGAGGCAGGTACTGGAAATGTTGTAGAGGCTGTCCGTCACGCCCGACAGGTCCAAGGCGATATCCGACGTCTTCAAACCATGAGCAAGGATGAGCTCTTCGTCGCAGCGAAGGAGCTTCGTGCCCCATATGATCTCGTCAAGCAGATTGCTGAGGATGGCAAACTCCCAATTGTCAATTTTGCTGCAGGGGGTGTCGCCACTCCTGCTGATGCCGCCTTGATGATGCAACTCGGTGTGGATGGCGTCTTCGTTGGTTCCGGAATTTTCAAGTCGGCTAATCCTGAAGCTCGCGCACGCGCTATCGTACAAGCGACAACTCACTACAAGGACCCCAAGGTATTGATGGATGTGTCTACGGGTCTTGGTCCCGCCATGGTTGGAATTTGCGACATCAAAGGAGATCCTGTCAACTTCCGTGATCGCGAGGGTGGTGAATACACATACAGTGGAAAGGTTCCTCCAAAGAAGGAATTGAGTGGGTACACAGAGACCCAGATGTACGGTTCATCGTGGAACAACTAGACACGAAATCAGATGATACAATTTAATTTGGATGTCTGACTGAAAATTCCTATGCACACACTTCCATAGAACTTCATAGATAATAATCAGATATTGAAGAAGTACAATGCCGCTATTTATCAGATGGGCGACAAAAACCTTAAGTGAGACTACTTATATTAGTCAAAGCGTTTTTTGCGGTGATCATTATTGTCAGCTATTGAAGTAAGCATTCAACGTCGTCAACTTTTCAATAGCTTTCAATGCAGACGAAAAGTACCGTGAAGTGATGTTTTCGAAGATTGTCTTCTTTCTCCAGCTCGTCTGATATCCTTCACCTCTTTCATTCCAAGTCGAAAAGGATATCAACTTTGGCGACGTTGAACTTTACCTCAGCTCCCCTCGCGCCACATGTTCATGTTAAGATCAGTCATCCGACACCGAGAAGACCACGCATATTCTAATGCAGAGTGATTTTTTTTGTTCTGTACATCTTTTAGAACATGATGTAAACTATAATAGCTCTTCCTCGCTCCCAGGCTCGTCAGCGCCTCTGTCCCAACTTTCGTCACCATCATCATCATCATCATCATCATCATCATTGCTTGGAATATCGTTGTCGTCGTCATTCCGATCACTAAATTTATTGTCAACTTTATCAGACATCTGCCTACCTTGAGACAAATGTTCGTTTTGTGAGTACTTGGCGATCTTTCGCCGCTTTCGGGAGCGACCGTTAACGGTGCTGGTGACACTTTTGACGTTGACCTTAGAGTTATCAACCACTGAATCATTACACTGGTGCAGCTTCATGTCCTCACCTTGTTGATAACAATTAGAATCAGACGGATAGTGCTTCAACTGTTTCTCTGTTGCTTTTCCGCTTTGGTCGAGTATTGTTCTTCTTTTAATACTGGTGACTATGTGGTTTTTGTCATTGTTGCCATTGCCATCGTCATCATCATCACCATCACCATCGTCATAGCCAAACCCATCAGCTGGATCGGTTTTGCTACGTAGGAAATCCAAATTAACAACTTCTCCAAATTGCCAAGGCTCAATAGTCTCGCCCGTAATAAAATCGACAGAACTTTTGGTTTGATCTGGTCTCGTGTCGTTGACGTGAACATGTTCGGAGATTATATCATTTTCTTCACTAAAACTACTAGTTCCTATTGCTTCGTCCATATCCTCGACATCGATAACTTTTTGGCTTTCTTTCAAGTGTTCAATATCGTCTTCACCACCTTCTTCCTCATCATGTCCATAGTGTTCGCGAGGGTCACCTAAACCATTTGCAGTTAAGAATTGAGTCACAACATTTACAACCCTTGTAAAATCTAAAACAACGGAAAGTGTGTCAATCCTTAAGCATTTCCAACCGACACGTTCGATAGCTTTTTGCTGTGAATATGACAAAACCCAATCTGATTTTTGTCGTTCTTCGCAGTCGATCATTATTGCCACTCGAATATCACTTTTTTGGTCTTCGACACAAAAAGCATTTTTCCATATCATTGACATGTCGACAGTTCGATAGCCTTTCCCTACAAGAAATGATCTTACAATTTCTCTCCCAAAGAATTGCTTGGGACGGTTTGAATTCGCATTATCCTGGTGTTCGTCGCTCGCTGTACTAGACCTCGTGCTGACGTTTGCGTTGATGAAAAATTCGATGATAGGAATTTTAACGTCGTCAAGACTAGGAACATCTCTCAAGTCAATACTTCTCACCAAAACAACTGCAGATATATACACACACAACAAAAAGAATCGCAAGGTTACAATTTGCATCAATGTTAGGCTCGTGTATTGACTTTGAGGTAAAAAGCAAACTCGCGCACTTCAACTTTCTCACCTCGGTCTCTCGCCCTTGACAGAGCCACATTTGCACGCTGATAATGAAATTGTTGTGACTGAGTAACCTGAAGAAATCAGAAAAATTTAAACCCATCAAAACAGAAGAGCAATGACGCTATGTTAAAAACAGATGGAGTGAAAATAATGCTCTTCCATTGTATAAAGTAATCTTACCATATTTCCTCTTGAACAGACCATACTGAGAAAAACAATATCTCTCTCTGCTCCTTGAAAAAGTGGTGGGTCGCCTATCAGAACATCATGGCGAGCGATATGCTCAGGACCACAAGAATCCAATAAACGTCCTCGAATTAGCCTGCTTTGTTCGTCACCAACAAGAGATATAACGCCAATTGACTTGGGTTTCGATTTTTTTTCTGACGATTCCATGACAATATGTTTAATCATTTCAACAATTTTATCCGCTTCTTTTTCATTGACTTTACCGACTTTCGAGCCTCCTACCACCCGTACATCTAAGATTGAAGGTTTCATTCTTTCTAACGCAGTCGGAAGACGAAGTGGTATCAGTCGACCGTCGTAAAATTGCACATTGCTGAAGCCAATGCTGCCAGTCCGGAGTTGTTAGTAAACAGTTGGTAGTTGCTAGAAATAGCGAGAAAAAGGGTAGTTCAGACAACTCACTTTCGCTGAGCTCAACTTACATTTCAGGTGCACAGCGGAAGTGTTCATTCAATACTACTCTCCCTCGGGGAAATGCCTGAGCACACATATCGAAAAAGCTACGTCCAGGAAGAAGTGCATCTTCCAGTGGACTCTCAGGCAAAGTCGCACGAATGTTCTCGATGTTTTCCTCGCTTACGAAAGCCTAAATAAAGAATGAGGAAATGTGTGCTTAGGACAAAAACATGAAAGAACTGGAATAATGATCCAATCTACTTACTTCAGTGGGGCTAACTTGTTTTCCGTCACCCACAATTAGCCATTGCTTGCCCCTCATCATTCCTGGAAGTACAGTTACATCGCTTTGTGAAGATTCGTCAATAACAACGAGGTCGAATAAACACTCAGCGGGTAAATAATCGCTTATCTGTGAAGTAGTAAGAATCCAACAAGGTATGAACCGGCAACAGCGATCAAATGCAGTTAAATACTCTTGCCGCCGTCTACGCTGTCTCTGACTCATCTTCGAGGGTTTTGAAGACCTACTAAACTTCGAAGCTCCTGCAATTTGAGCAAATTTTATCAAAGCACTTTGAGCATCAGGGCTAAATGACCTGGATAGCTCAGCAACTACTGCTGAATCAGTCAAATCTTCTGAATGATAGCGTATTTGGCGAGAGATTCTCGTACGCATCGCATCAAGTTTGCGACACTTGGCAATTGCTTTGATTGCAGTTTTGACGTTGAGTAAAATGTGCAATTCTTTTACTTCGACTGCTATATCGAGTAGGTCATGAATTTCTTTCAGTCGTTTTTGGTCTTGGAAACATGCCTGAGGCCACTTTTTTTCCTTTACTAGTGACCGCCAAATTGTGTCCTCGAATGTGCAGACGGCAAGCGAGTGCTTCAATGCCTTTGCAATCGTCTTCCAATCATCTTTGGATTCTGGTTTAGTACCGTTCAAATTCAGTTTGTCCAATTCTTTGTAAACCTGTTTAATATGACTATCCATCGCAGGGCCAATGATGGGCAAAGATGATAGAGTTGCTTTAGTAACCTGGGAAAGAGACGAAAGAGACGAACCCGACCTCGCTGAAGCCAAGGATATCAGGCTTTTTGAAGGGGGCGAATCAAAACCTGTTACAGATAGTACAGGATCATCCAAATCTAGTCTTAGTTTCGTCATTTCGCCGGCAAGAGACTTGATACTGTTCAGATTCATTTCCGCAAGACTTCGCATAAGCCATGGAGCAGATGTGATAAGATAGCTAGCCTTTTCAATTAAAGTCATTCCATCAGGCTGTTGAAGAAGATTGCGTACTCGTTCACTTTCAGCCATCACCTCTTTATCAATTTCTTCTAGCTTGATCTCGAGATCATCAATTGTGTGCTGTCTCATCAAAACAGGTTATGGGTTAGTAAGCCACAAAGAGTCGAAATTTAATGAAAAAGCGACATTACCCAACATACCTGCAACATAGAACATTTTTCAGTTTCAATATCTGCAGATGCAACCGATACGCGGACGGCAAGGCGTTCGACGGTTTGCTGAAGTTGCCGCATTCCTGATTTTCGTCAACAACCAAGGTAAAACATGTATTAAATGATCTTGATCGAACAAACGGTAACGATGGCGATAAAACAAAGATGACCTAGATCGAAAGGAGAAACAATGCTTCCGGTTGTTTTTCGTATAAAAACATGCTGCTGTAATGACGTACCATGCAATTCACTCATGCTAACATCCACAACCAATTCTCGAACACTCTGTGGCAATCTGCCTCGGAGGACACTGAGAGCATTGGCGTTTTTTGATGTAACTAAAACTCTTTTGCCTTTGCACAGATATGCACTTTGAAAGAAAGCGGGTATTTAGTAGAGATCCAGACGAAGAAATAATCACGAAAATAAGCCCGCTCGTTATGACCGAAAATATCTCAACTCACCTAACAATATTTGCTATAATGAAAGAGAGACGAAATATGAGCCGAAAGAGAAGAACGAATAAGGATACCACGAAAGATGAATAGTAGCACTGCACTGGAATAAGAAATTAAGAAACTCACCTATAGTGTGGGTTTTTCCTGTACCTTTTTTGTCAACGACCCGAAGAAGAAGAAAAATCGCAAAAATACATGACATGTGTGATGAGAGAGTCGATAATAAAGCTCACAAGAAGGGGTCAAGAGCAAAGACAAATGGAGAAAACATACCCGGCGGACCTTCGGCGATGACTGCTGGATAGTTTTGGCGAAGTAGAAGGTCTGCGATTCTAATCTGAGAGTCAGAAGTAGCCAAGGGAAAAATAGGTTTATTCGAGAAGTGCTCTTTTTTTTTCCTGCTTGCTTCCGTCAAATCTTTTGCTGCAAACAACAAGTTGCTTTGAAGCCAGGTAGCAATTGCCTTCTTTTTCATCGACGAATCTAGGTCGTCATTTTCACGAATCAAATCTTCCTGCAGTACTTGTTCTAGTTTAGTGGAACCGTGCGTTAGACTCCAGGTAGCCAGCGGAAGAAGCTCCCTGTGATTACCAACTCTGTCAGCAAGAAGATTAGCGTCCCGAGCCCAAATAGAGCTAGGTTTCGAGCGCGCATATAGACACCATGCCTCAGATACCTCAAGCTTTCCCAACTCAGTCATTTTGTCGTCTTCCTTTCGTTTCGATTTAGTGTTGGTACCCGGTGTAACAGTACCAGAAGATGCCCGAAATGCACCACCAGCTGATAACTCCACTGCTATTCTTTTCAGAAAAGGTACATATGTTTGTGGTTGTGCAGGGGATATAGATGAAATTTCGATATTTGCGACTGCTTTATGGAGTTGCGATAAAACGGCATTTAGAGAAGAAGGGTCGGCACCGGTTGCTACAAGAGCGGCTATTACTTCTCGATTGAGAGTGACCCCAGTGTGCTCCCGCGGGCGAATCAGGAGTGCTCCATCAAAGGCCAACTCAACTTCCACCAATACCTCCAATAGCGGTCCATTTATCAACCTTCCATCATAAGTTAACATTTTCGCATGTCCTAATCCCCAAACAATTTCTTCATTGTTTTCGTTCTGCTGCTGGTTCCATTCAAAAAGAGAATTATATATTGGCTCCAACGTTTGTTGATATAATTTCATACGAAGATATGACTTGTATGTTCGTAAAAAATGTTCAATGCGTTTGTGATTCCGCATGGATGTAGTTGATGAGATGCTAGGGGCACGATCTAAATTGTGAAGCGTCAACAGCTCGTCAATGGAACAAGCTGTGGAAGATTCTTTTAACCATACATTCAGGTAGTGTTGTAAGCTTGGATGGTCATAGTTTGGTTGTTGTAACAAAGAAGAGGGCCCTATTCGTGTTAAACGCAGCCATATCCCTCTGCCATCACAATTTCTTCCCCCTCGTGGGTTCTTTGAGTGAGTAAAGACAGAAGAAAGTCCGTACACACCCATTCTTTTACTATTTCTCCCCTCTACGACTTGACCACAATCGTTAAAAGCATTCTGTGCCGGGGCGTAAAATGCAAAGGGCTGAGAACCCTGGTTATCGCCAATGGCATCTACGGATATCAATTTTCGGAAGTCATTGGTACTAAACAAAACTCCATTTTCAACATCTGTGTCAGCAAATGTCTCGCGTTGAAAAAAATCATCTGGGATATTATCGTCGTCATCGACTTCCCTAACAAAATGCTGACGGGATGACTCTCCTGAAGAGCTCACGCTTTCGTGCATAGATGCAATATATCGAAGGATAGCCGCTAAGCGCTTTCTGTGCAACACACAGTCCTCTTCAACACTTTTTTTTTTGTTGTCAGCCCTTTTCATCCAGGACGGATTCCACCAAGAAGCTTCACTGGCCATAGTTCTATTGTATGTTCGTTCTTCCACTGTTAATACTACAATTCAGGTGGGTCGTGGACCGCTTCTATTCATATTGAGAGATCTAGGAAAAATGAGGACCCCGCGACGTAGAAGTACAGTAAGAGAGTTTGAGAGATCGTGCCGTGAGTTTCGAAGGACATACAGAAGAACAAAAATCAAACGATGCAACTTCGTCACGAAGAATTCTTCGATACTGTATTCTGGCAGGGCCAACCGGGATTTGGGCGCGCATGCGTTGTTACGAACAAAAACTTGTTACAAAAACTTTCTGCCAGGCGCAGTTGTTCCTAGTAGTAACTGCTCTTAGACTGAGTTATTGTAGCCTTGTCTTTCCTTCTTCCGTCATTGCTCTTGAACCAGTGCCACAGGACATTCTGGACTTCTTGGCACTGTGGTGCCATATGTTCATACCTTTGTGGTCTGAGGTTGTAAGGATCTAAATGGTCAACTATTTGAACTTAGTACTACTAAGTGTTTGTTGCCAAAATTAGGATTTGACTATGGTGTGACGTAATGTGATTAGATCTAGTACATGTAAAATGTGTAATGCTGGTCTGGGATTTACAAGTTGGCTGCATATTGACTTACTGTTTTGAGACAGGTTTGTCTCCACTGAAACACATACTTGTTTGGTGGTAGTAGGCCCATTGTGTTCCACCAGCGGTACTGGGGAATGTGCGGTGTCAGTCCTAGTAGTTCCTATTATCAGTGCCATTGGAGCTATTGTCACTGGTGGAATCTGCTGGTGTGCAGCAGATTTTATAGGCAGCAAGGATGTGGAGTTGCTTGAGGTGCTCATGTTGGCTGGGTTGGTGGCTGTTGTGCCACACAGGGAAGAGTTTGCTGCCGAGTTTGCTCTGCATGATTTCAGTGGCGGCGTTGGGTGCCAGGGAAATAAGGTGATATTCAAGGAGATCACCAATGTGATAGGCATATTGGATGCAGCCTCTGGTTGTGATCTGCTCCTGTGGGTGCCAGGAAATTATCAGGAGGTGGCAAGGGGTGCAGTACAAGGCTATGGTGGTGTGGTGGCGGATGTTGCAGGGGACAGTGGATTTGCTGTTACTGCTGTTGTTGATGGCTTGACATGCAACCTCGATGATGACCAGGTTGGTTAGGTAGTTGGCAAGGGCTGTGGATATTTTGCCCTGCCAGCTAAAGTAGTTGGGTACAATGAGGTGGTTGAGGGTGGAGAAGGAAGGAGGATGCGCACCTGAAATCCGTTATCCCATGTCCAGGGGAACCTCAGGAGGAGGCCTGATGGGTTGGGTGCCTGGCAGTGATCAAATTTGTAACAGCAGTCTTACTAGTCAGTGTCAAAGAACTCTGTGGTTATGTTGTCACTGTTGCCTAGGCACCAAGTGGCAACCGCCATGCACTTTTTCATTGGGTGGGTCCATTTGCTGAAACAGGTGAGGTCTCGTGGAGGCGCCTTGTGGAAATAGTGGAGATAGGCTTTACAGAAATTGTCCACAGTGTAAAGCGGGCGCATGGACCCATTGTGGGCTAGCCCAATATGGTCACAGACCATGGGAATTTTGTGATAGAGGCTGGTGCGGCAATGCTGGTGCTTGGGGCTGCTGTTACCATTGACTTTGGGTTCTTCAGCCCCTGGCTGTTTGATGTCGTCAGGGGCATTTTGCCTGCAAGGGGGTGTCTCTGGGTCAACGCCTGTTGCAGTTTTGTGGTCTTTGTCAGGGTTGGCAACCGTGGCGGTGTTGTCTTGGTTGGCATTGGCTTTGGCATTGTCTGGATTGATGTTTGTGGCAGTGTATTCTTGGCCAGCGTTATTGGTGTCTTAGTTGACATTTGCAGCCTGTGGTGGGTTGACTGGGGACATGGGGTCATTGGAGCTGCTGTTGTTGCTGGCACCATTTCTGACAATGCTGCTGCTGTGTTGAGAGAGGTTGAGAATTTCTAGGTTGAGTGCTGGGGTAGGGTTGTTCTGGGAAGCTGCACCAGCGGAAAGGCACTGTGTCTGGGCATTGGCGCCCCTGAGGAGAGGCTGCCTCAACAAGGGTGTCCTGGGCAAGGATGTCTCTGACCCAAGGGAGGAGGAAGTTGCAGAGGGCTGTAGAAATGATGTTGGTGGAATGAAGGAGCTCCAGGTTGCTGTGGATAGCATCATAGAGATTGGTTGGGGTGCTTGCAAAGTTGATGTTGCAGAGGATGGCCACTTCATTGACCAGGTGTGGGCAGATTTTTGCTGGGGCTGAGCGCAAGATGGCACAAATTGCCAATTGTATGATGGCTCCAGAGGCTGGGCAAAACATGGTGTGAGGTCAGGGAGGTACAAAGGTGTTAGGTGGAGACTGTTTTGCAATTGTCCTGTGTTGGGATTGTGAGCTACTTTTGGGGTGGATGGGCCTTGATGGCATGACACAGTGTATTGCAGAGATTGGTTTTTGGAACTGAAGGTAAGGGTTCACAATGCGGGCCCATTGTGGGGAGGTTGTGGTTGAGCCAGCTGTCATGATGCCAGTGTCTTGGATGTGGGATTGAGAGAAGCAAGTTGTGTATGTGTGTTAGGATTTGTAACAGTGAATGTTTGAGTGAAAATCCTTCTTCTTGGTGCCAATGTTGGTCATTGGTTGATGTGGAATGTCTTGGTTGGCAAGAAAACAGATATTGTGATATGGTACCAAAGTGGTCATGTGGGTGGAAAGACTGTTTGAGAAATGTGCAAGTTGTTCCTGGAGGTAAAGAAGGAGGTATCACTTTTCCAACAGCCAAATTTGTGGATTGTAGTGCCAGGGACACCATTGAGGTACACTGCCTTGGCCCCACCTGATTATAGGCTGTGGGTTCATACAGCTTCCAGTGCAATGCCAGCATCCTGGAGTTGTAGGGCTTTCCATGTGTTTTCCATTCTTCTGGTTGTGGAAACAGAGTATCACAGCTGTACTTTAAGGGAGGAGTGTGGGTAGCGGAAACCTTGGATCAAGGCACATTGTGTGGTGCCACAGTGTGATGTCTCCAATGGTGAGTGGCATGGTCTGGGGTGTGTTTTGAGTGCTTTTGTTTTTGGGCATGGCAAATTGTTGCCCAGGCGGAGGAGGTAGTGGGGGAGTGCAAGTGGGACTGCCAGGCACAGCTGTGGCAGTGAGTCACTGCATTCATAGCCAGTCAGAAGTTGCTGAAGGGCTTTAGGGTAGGCTTCTTGTGGTAGTCCCAGAAGGTTTTGTTGTCCAGCCAGTTGGAGCGTTGTGGTGTGGCCCTGAGCGCATGCTTGACTGTCTGGGCACAAACCTGCTCTGGGCTTCCAGTGACTCTGCCACACTACACATCGTGGGCATAGGCAAACAGCAGTGTGATTTGGTAGGGATGTGGGGTGTTGAGGTAGGGTCCAATGGAGGGGTAGTTAGTTTCCACCCAGTTGGTCCAAAGGTTCCAAAGGCACCATCATGTACTCATAGTTGCTGCCACAATGCCAGTGGTGACTGCTTCATTTGAAGCACAGAAAAGATCTTTGAGGCAGTTGAGGTGGGGTAGTGGTACAGTGTCCAGGAGCCATGCTGTAGGGGTGTGAATGTGTCAGAGAAGCGAGACAGGAAGTGTTTTGGGTTAGTAGGGTGTGGTCACAAGGCGAAGTCCGCCATGACCTTGTTTTGTCCTGGGATGTGTCAGATGTCAAGCAGTGCTGCCTCTTGTTGCCATGTGTGGACGGCAAGGGCACAGAGGAGCTTGGATGCCACGTGGGATGTGGAGGTTTGGAACCAGTTGGTCCAGTGGACACAGCAAGGCTGTCACACCAGATGGCTGCTGTGCAGTGTCTGAGGGTGGTGTTGTAGCAACAGATGTACGCTGTGAGGGCTAGTACATGGAGTACAAGGCCTGGGAGTTCAAGGTTGCATATTGAGAGGTGGTCTGTGGGGTTGGCTTTGGAGCAGAGGGCGGCTGTGATGGTGAGGGGCCATTGGACAAACCAGACAAAGGGTCTTAGGTGGTGTGTACTGCTGAACCACACATCCCCCACTCTCCAGCTAGAGGCATCGACAAGGATGATGTAGCTGGGTGTGTGGTGCAAGATGACATTTGTTCCATTCGGTGTGGCAGGAGCAGGAGGTGTTGTTTGAGGGTGGTTACAGCAAAATTGTATGCGGTCTTGGTGGCCACATAGAAGAAGGGGGGGCTTTTGCTCCAACCCATTTGTAGGGGGTGTGGGATGACTAGCTGAAGTGGGTCTGTGGGCTCTGGGGATGGCAGGACATAAGTGAAGTTACAGGTATCCATTTTACTGACTACATACCATTCCCCAGTAGCCGTCTTTGAGGTCTAGTTTGGAGAAGAGGAAGAGTATGTCAGGGGGTCCATGGGCCATTTTGTGGATTAGCAGGGGTACCACATGGCCAAGTTCAAACATTGCGTGTTGTGGGGCAAGGGTCTTGTCTGAAGATGGGAGGTTCAATTGGAATTCTGTATGCCCTGGATTTATGAGGGATTGGGGTGATGGGGCTGACTTTGATATTTTTTGAGTGGTTATGTTGTATTGTTTCCCAGTCTACTATGTGGCAGCAGCCATCTACTACACATGCTAGGGCTTTGTTGCAGCAGGCTGCGGTAGCTTCAGGAGGGACATGTGCACTGGGGTGTGCTCTGCACTGGATGGCAGCCATAATCTCGTCTGTGCTCCAGTTTGTGCCACAGTTAACGGGGCAGCCGGTAGTTTCCCATGTCTGGAGGAGTGGGGCAACAGGGTGTTCAAGTACATGCTTGTGAGGGTACATTAGGCCAATGAACAGGGGTGGCTCAACTTGGTGTGGCGTGAGGTTGTTATAGTTGTCTGGTGGGTGATTGCACTGGCAGTGGGTTTTTGGTGACTGTGCTACTATTAAGGAGGCAGGCAGGTTGTGCTTGGCAGCATTGTGTGACAGAGGATACACTGTCATGGGGTGGGCTTAGGGTTGGGGTTGGGGTTGTGTGAGGTGGGCATTTGGTGCTTCATGTGGTGTTGACTATGGAGGACTTACCGCCGGGGCCATGTGTGACACTGTTGGATGCCACAAAAGTGGCTTTGAGCATTGCTTTGCAGTCCGCCAAGGTCTGTTTGGTGTCATGGTTGCATTTGCATTGTGGGGACTCACATACGCCAAAGAAATGGAAATGGATTCAACTGGTGGTTTCAATGCCAAGGCATGTGGCAAAGGTTGCATCATCAGCGCAGTGTGTGGCTGTGCATGCTGATGCAATTTGTGGGGAGGCATTGATTTGGTTATTTGTGGGTGGCAATGATTTTTTGGCAGGTGGCGGGGAGGTCTTTTGTGTGGGCTGCTGTGTGGATGTTGTTGCAGCGTTCTTCTATGCGTCAATCAGAGCAAGAGCACTTTGTTTGGTGGTCAAGCTGGTGTGATGGTTTGTTTCTTTTTGATATCAGTGGGCAGAACATGGAGGTTTTGTTTCTGGCCTTGTGGAATCACAGCCATTGGAAGTTGTACTAGAGTTCACTGAGGGAAGTGTTCTTTGCTTGGAGGACATTGTGTACTTTCTTGAGTTCTTGTGCTAGAGGGCAGTGTGGATTGAATGATGTTTTGAGAACTTGTATTTGGTTGTTGATGACATCAAATACTTCATACACGGTGCTTGGGACTATTGGCCTACTATTTAATTTTGCTCTGAGGACATCGGCGGTGCTGATTGCTGTGGCTTCTGTGTTGAGGTGCAGATGGTGCTCTGCTGTCCAGATTTCTTTGGTTGTTTGTGCAACATATGCCATGGGTCCTAGGAAAGTGCGTCCTGACATGTGGGGGTCAGGGGCAAATCAGAATTTGACCACATTTTTTGTCCAGTCATGTTGTAAGCGTCCTTGTAGTTTGGGGAATGAGATTTTTAATGGGTTTGTGAAGAAATGTTCTACCTTTGTTTTGCAATTTTCCTTGGATTTTAAGGTTTGCTCCCATGTGTTATTTGTGATGGTGTGGAAGTTCTGGAGCTGGGATAGTGGCATTCCTGACCATCCTATGCTGATGTGGAGGAGCTCTATGTTGGTCATTGGTTGTTGTGTGGGGCAGTCATTTTGGGTGTGTTGATGATGGATGCATATAGCTTCATTTGGATAATTTTGTTGGGTGTTGGGGTGGTTTTTGTGTTTGCAACAAGTAGCTGTTRGAGTTTTATGTGGGCCATGTTGTGGATGTCGTCTGCCATGGTGTGTACCGGACGGTTGTAAAAGATTACACCATTTTGGATGAGTCAAAATTTGGATCACGTGTAACCCCTATACATACTTATATGTGTAGAATCCTTATGTCAAGAGGAACTCAGCCATGATGTCATCGTGACCATTGAATATGATGTAATGTCAGCTTTTTTGGTCAATCTTTTTGTCTTGGCATATATTTTTGGTAGCAAAAGAACATTCTGAGGGTTCTCCAGACACATTTTGAGTCAAAAATTCTTCAGAGAACCCCTTCAAAACAGATCTGGTGGCCTGCCCGCCTAGAATTTTTTTGACCCGGTTCTCCATTTTTTCGCCTCTTAAGTAAACTTTGAATCTTCATTTTTGATATGCCTCTTTTTTGTGTGTACATTTTCTGTATAATCCGACATACCCTGTGAATTCTCTTTGTGACATAAACACGCAGATTTTCGTGAACTTTGTAGCCATGTGCTCAGAATTCACAGGGTCCTTGTGGTTGTCGAGAAAGTGTGCATAGAGTTTTGCTAGTCGCGCGCGTGCCCAAAAATGGTGTAATCTTTTCCAACCGGCCGGTATGTTGTGGTGGTTTGGGGTGATTGCTGGTGGTATGTTGTCTTTTTGTGTGGGGGGGGTGATTGGAGTTTGGAACATGTGGGAGGGTTCTCGTGTTGCTTGGTAGTATCTGTAGCAGTTGTTTGGCTGGGGTGTCTCAGGTGAGGCAAGTAGGTTATTGGTTTGGTTCTAGTGTGTTTGTTGTTTTTGTTTGGTTCAAGCTGGTTTGACTGGTTTTGGTTTGTGGTTGTGTTTTCATTTTTTCTTGGTGATTGGGTGGTTGATTGGGGGTTTCAGGATGGTGAGAGTTTCCACTTCAGTTGGCCAGAGGTCTTCAAGGTCATTGGTGATTTGTGTGGATAGTTCCTTTCAGAACAAGAGGGTTGGGCTTGTACTGTTGAGTAGGAGGTTCTTGCTGGTTGTTGGGTCTTTGTTTTTGCATGTGCATGCTGCCAGGAGCCATTTTGCAGTTGTGGAGGTTTTGGGAATTGCTTTTTCTCAAATGAGGTGGTCACAGAGCTTGTTGGGGTGGATGGGTTGTTGGTTGATGCAGTAGAGGTCCAGGAGGGAGGGGGGGATTTTCCCCAGAAGTCTCTCATTCTTAGCTTTTGCAGTTGAATGGGGTTTGAGGAAGGGGATTGGGTTCTTTTTTAGGGTTGGTTTGGTTCTGTTGGGGCCAGTGATTTGGGGGCACTTTCTGTCATTGGGGTTAGGTGCTTTTTGGCATTGGATTGTGAGGGTCTTGCAGTTGGCTAGGTGTAGGTTGATGACATGGAGGACGTTGTGACTGTGTCTGAGGGCAAGGACTGGTGAGACCCTGTTGTTGTCGAGGATTGCTTAGTACACGTGTGCTGGGTTCCATGGGTCTTGGTTTTTGGGTGGCAGCAGAGGGTGATCCTTTAGGATGGTGACAATGGTATTGCGGATTGCAGGAGCAAGGGCAAGGGTTGGCATGTTGGTGTTTGTAAGCTTACTACTAGGGGGGGGGGGTTGGGTTTTACAAATTTTACTTTGTGAGCATTTATTTGAGGTTGATTGTTGTCATTGTCTGGTTGTTCTTGATTTTTTGGTGTTTCTTCTTTGTTGTTCATTTTTTCATGCTACTTCATTACAGGGGGGGTGTCAGGGTGATGGGGTGTAAGTTGCTTGGTTGTTTGTGCTTGCAGATTGGCAGGGTTGGGTCCATCTATTGTTTGTTTGTTTGGAAAATTTTTCATTGTATTTAGCAATTGTCGTTGTTTTGCGCTGGGCACCTGTTTAGTGTATTGGCATGGTAGGGTGTAGGATGGTTCCACGGTGGGAGTACTTTTGCTGATTTGTATTATTTTCTGTGGCAAACATTTGTGTTTGGCGTTTGGATCACAGTGGGAGTGTTATGTGCCATTTCTTTTGACATGGCAGAGTGTAATGTTGGTTGCTGTACGTTCTCTTTGGCAGTGATTCGTTGCGTCTTCACCAGATTCTCTTGGTGTGTGTAGTACTAGTGAGTCTCGTGCTGTGGCTACGATGAGCTTGATGTGCTGGGGTGAATCTTTCTCTTTCACATCATGTCTCATCCTACTGTGGCAGTCCTTCACTGCAATACTTTGGAGAATGAGGCCAAGGCTTGTTGAGGTGTAAAGGCTATCGTATTTGCAGGGTATGGTGATTTGCAAGGTAGTTCTTTGTCTGGTTCTCATTTTTTCATCTGTACGTCGTTCCCAATACTCAACAAAAATTGCTTCGACGGAAAATAGGTTTTCTGTCTTTCTGTTGAAAAATAGCGTGCCGGGGGCCAAGGTTACGGAGCCCACCATAGTTATCGTTTCATCTTTCTACTTCTCTGTTGTTCTCTCGATTGTTACCGATAAGGATACAATTTCGACATGCACAAGGACTAGGGATCGCTCACGATAGTTTACTTGACCAGAAGAATTTACATCCTTGTGGTAGACATCGGATAATCACATACATACGGTAGACAGAAATGAAGCTTTTGATTTACTTTTCTCATCTTCAAATTCTTTTTCTTGCGAGATATTGTGGTGCGTTCTGTAGTAGGGCGAACTTATGCTCTCGAAAAGTCCATTCTACATCACCCGTAATCAAAACAATAATTTGCTCTAGTGGTCCTACACACTCATTTGTTGAAGGGGAAGAATACGACGATCATTTCGCCGAAATTGAGGCGATGGGAGGAGGTGCGTAATATTGTGCAAAAAATCGTGTCCATTAAACGACTGCGAAATGCTGTCTTTGTCCTCTCTACACTATGCTTACTCGTACTGAAAATTGTATTTTTTCCCTAAATAGACCCATTTTTTATGGATGAAGAGGAATACAAGGATACAATTCCAGAGAAAGTGGACGCTGCAAAACTATTTGAAAACTCTCAATTGAGTGAGCTGCTTGCTAAAGCCAGCAGTCGCTCTGCAACAGACGGATTGGGACCTACTCCGAGTCAAAGGAGCACTGTTTCCAACAACAATGATTCAGATTGGGAGTGGGATGGAACGGTTGACGAAGATGCTCACTTAGGATTGGATTAATTACTCGATAGTTCATGGTTCAGAATTGGTGAAGACTATGACCCCTATCGTGAAATTGGCGAAGAACTATTTAAACGTAACTATATTGTTAACTTGGATCAGTACAATCAAAATGTATCATGACAAGAACCTGAGTATATGTACGCTGTTATTCTATGCCAATTTAATTATTCATTACCACGACGATAATGTCGATTCATTTCTTGACGACGACGGTCATCCATAGCCTGCTGTTGCTTCCGAAGTTCTCGCATTTTGTCTCTAATTGTCTTACACTGGGGGACTGGGCAAACCGCCTCTTTGCACTTCTGGGCGTGTATGCGCAATAGGGTCCAGATCCGCTTACATATTCTGCATCCTCCTACGACCTTCGTCTATGTGCCCAAAAAAAAGGATTGAGTACAAGCGTTTGAAAAAATTCATATAGAGAACGAGAGCAAAAACCAGATTGTCTTACCTTGCAAGTATGAGCGTGCTGTAAATACTCTTTCATCTTTGCACAATTCTTTGAATTACAACCTTTGGATTTGCACTGAGAGGCATGCTCAATCAGTTGAATATGAAGCACTAGGTTACGTTGACGCTGCTTTCTTTCTGCCGCCGTTAGCCCACTTGATTCGGATTGACCATCGGATAGTTTGACTTCTTCAAGCTTGTGTGTACACGTTCCACGATTTGTATTGGGATCCTTGTAGCATGTCTCGCAGAGATCATAATCGGGACAGAAATTACAGTGATAGCGTTTTCCGCTTAGAATTTCGCGACTACAGGCAACACATTGTTGAACGTACTTGGGAGCATCACGGTTCTGGAGATGCCACAGGACCATCATCGATGTATGCTTAGCACGACGCAATTCATCAAACTGATAATGATTTCCTTTGCAAAGGTTCAAGAATGCTTGACGGTTATTCAATATTTCGCAGTCAAGATCTTCTGCATCATCATCGATAACCTTTATTGGGCAACCATTTGAATCTACCAACGGAGCGTCTTCTTTCATAAGCCCATCGACATTACGCTTGTTACTAGCTGCCAACGGTGCCTGCATCTCGGGATGTTCTTCTCTGTACTTAACGATTTCTTCTGGTACTACTGTGTCTTCTTCCTTCACGCCTGACCACATCAAAAATGCTACGAGGAAACTCTCCTTCATTGGCAGGATGGACTCTCCCAGCTTAACCATTACTTTGTCTCGATCCAAATCTTTCGCATTAATCATACCGCTGGCAATCAGTGCTTCCTCGTCGACTCCTGTCGACCTTGTACCACCTCGATTCTTTGACTTGCTCTGATTTTTTTGTTTCTTTTTCTTCCCACTACTTCCGTTCTTCTTTCCTGAATCATCCTCGAGCTTTTTAATAATATTCTCTGCTTCTCCAGGGAAATAATCACCTTCATGATACGGCACGGTGGTCGCATCGAGGGACTCATTTGCGAAGTATAGGTCATACATGTTTGTTACTTTTCCGACAATTCCACGATTCTGACATTCAGTCAACATGTCAAGATACCATTGCCTCAATCTCGAGTCCCTTGGAGTTTTTTGATCATCTGGTTTTGCGTAGAAAACGTAGTCGTCGCCCTTTAACGGCGGGCATGCCCAGATATGGACTGTCGCGAATCCTCGCTGTCTTGCATAATCAAGGTAAGAAATTAGAATTTCGTGGTATACGAAGGTTCTAATTTTCCTCGGCCTCATGTAATGAACATTATCGAGGTATGATATATAAACAGTACGTTTGTTTGGTAAGGGATTATCCTCGCCGTGCTCGTACAAATAAAGAGCAAACAGAACGACATCTACACCATCAATTTCTTGAAAAACAAGGAGGCATTTACATCGAAATGTGAATTCTTCAGGGTATTTCTTGTGAGCGTACTTTTTCCTCATCCGTTCGAAGACTTCTAATTTCCTGTCCATTGAGGTGACCTGGCGTATGGTTACAGGCCCACCGTCTGCCTTCGTTTCTTTCATTGCTTCCTCCATAGAAATGTTCTGTGAAAATAACAATTGCGTGAGAAAAAATAAAATTATATTCATATTCGTACACCAATCAATCACACAGGGACAAGCTTACCTGAGTCAGAGACTTTTCGCTCGCCACCTTCTGTTGTCTACCTTCTATCTTTTTCTTCACACGAGCCTCTATAAATTCGGAGAGTTTGGTCCTCGGTAGCTCTGTTGCACCAGCAGGTCTAGGTAGCGGTGGTTTTTTGTCCACTTTCCGCTTGTCCAACAAACAAAGCGGACAACAGTATTCACTATGATGCTCCTTGTTTTGTCTTGTATTAAAAAGACCACAAATCTGGTGTATCCATCTTTCACAGATGTCACACTGTACCCAGCTCTCTTCCACTATTTCATCGTTTTTCTTCTTCTTCAGATCAGATTTTTTCACCGACAAGTCAATCATGTCAATGGATGCTTTCGGGTCAAGGTCGTTATAACATTGATTACACCAATAGTATTGATTGTTCCCACCGATGTAGAAGTGGCTGTTACGTCGAATTCGTTTACTCGCACAATTCATGCCGTTGCAAAAGAATACAGGTGGTTCAAACAATCGTTTTTCACAACCACAAAGGATACAAGCTCTTTCATTCTGTTTTCCATTCTTGAGCTGCTCCACAAGTTTACTGTAATCGACTTCAAATTTTTTTTTCAGTTCTTTCGCCATGTCATAAACAACTGTACCTTTGCCATTATACAAGATCGCATTATCGAAACTTAGATTCACATCTGATTGGAAGTCTTTGATGGCATGATATTCACCTTTCTCCAACTTTTTCTGGATACTGCCAAGATCCATCGGATTTTTGATGATTTCAAAGTAGTCAGTTAAATTCAGTTCGACAGGATCGACAGGTGAATTAAAAACCCAACCATGTTCATGAGTTTGAAGCCCCTTTAAGACTTCAAGACATACTTTCTTCCATTTTGCAGGCGAAAGTTCAGCCACTCTATTCAAAGATGCAAGGTGTGTTTCAATCTGTTCGAGCGTGAAGCTATCCAACAACGATCGATCTTCGGAACCTTTGTTTGTTGGAGGTGCAGGAGAAGGAGCTTTTGTGACCTTTGGAGGTGCAACGACGCTAGGTACAGGTTTTGGTTTGGTAGATGGGACAACAGCCGGTGCTTGTGGCTTTCTCGGGGTGGGTAATTTTTGACGTTTTGCTGGAGGAGCAGCATCTGGTGGTGCGGCGTTGTCAAAAGATGGTAAACTAGACGTTTGAACTGCACGATTCCCCTGCTCTCGAACACTTCTTCGAATAGTTTCACGAACAGGACCACAAGCAGGACACTTTGCGTCCTTACACCGTCGATAGTGGCTTAGGACATACCTACTACTCATGCAATGTGGAACATTGCATTGTTGATCCTTGCAGTGAGCAATATGCTCCCACAACTTTTTCATATTAGCACAGTGAGGGGTAACCGGGCAGTTTGTTTTGTGTTCACATTTAGAGGCATGCCTCAAAAGTAACAGACGTTGTTGTTTGTGACGAACTTTTTGCCATTCGCTGTCGTTCCTTCTCGAGGAGGACGAGGATGAAGCGGTCTGATTATAATTTGAGCTTTGGCCTCCGCTTGAAGTGGGTAATCCTGGCGATGTAAAATCAGATCCAATCACTCCATTCATTGCACCCCCGCCTGACCTGTACGAAGCCTGTGTTGATTTCGTTGAGTCTAACAAAGGTGGTGGATACATCATGCCAGAATTTGCATTGTTTGAAGAAGGGGGCGCCATATTTGGAACTTGCTGCTGTTGAGGCTGTGAGAAGCTTGACTGAGCATTCATGGGTTGGGAAGAAAACGCATTATTGGAATGGTTCCCAACGTCGTTAGGTCTCATTCGTGGCTGCGGACCGCTTGACAGGTTGGGCATATTTCCCGTCGAAGACGATGGTCTATTACTACCAATCGTAGTAGATCCTCGATTGCTTTGTGACTTCCTAACTGTCTCACGCACGGGTCCGCACGCAGGGCATGCTGCGTCCTTGCACTTTCGGTAGTGACTTAAAATCGCTCTTGATGAAAAACAGTGTCTGACATTGCATCGATTATCTTTACATCCTTCCATGTGTCTCCATAATCGTTTCATGTCAACACAGTGTGGCGTTATAGGACAGAGTCCATCTTCGTGCGGGCACTTAGCAGAATGGTGTAGCAATAATAATCGCTGCTGCTTATGTCGTATGCGTACTTTCCACTCAGGGTCATTGTTTCTCCCAGAGCCACCCCCGTTTGTCGACATACCTGGAGCAGATTGCACACCAGAATTTGTTGAGCTTGGGTTGTTCATCGCACGCGGATATGCTCCTGTCATCCCACCGCCGGCATTCGACATAACACCGTTACTATTCATGACACTATTTCGATCTGTTCGGTTAGCCGAACTATTACTCATGTAGGAAGAAGATGTGCCACCTTGTCTCATTCCACTAGAACTTTGTGGCTGCCGATCGCGCCGACTATCTTGGCCTCGTGTTTTTTGAGATACTTGTTGGGCAATCTGCTGCAACCGCTGTTTAAGTGTAGTCATGTCCACATAAGCTTCAAATGATCGTGCGTTTCGATAAAGAGAGACTTCTAGCTGCTTCGCCATTTGAGGTAGCTTATCGAGCCACTCGGGAGAACCTGTCTTATCTTTTTTTAGCATTTTGACACTGATTGAAAGAAGCAGCATTTTTGGAAAAAACAGAAAAACTAAGTGAGCACAAAGAATTGCTCTAAAATCCAAAGTGACGTTTGATTTCAAAAACTCGTTGTCGCCATGTTGGATAGAATCGTCTTTCTCTTACATGTGTTGTATCATAGTTCGACGATGAGGCGTATCTCTATCCGTTTGCCAGTTCCCATTCAATCCAGAACTTCCACTACCACTTCCACCTCTTGAATTCATCATACTGTTGTTTCTCGAGGAGTTCATTCCGTTATTCATAGTTCCACTCATCGAATTTCCATTCATGGCGTTCATAGAGTTGCCTCCCATCGGTGCATTCATCGCAGTGTTTATGTTGTTATTCATAGGCGCATTCATACTGTTCGTCCCATTCATCGAGTTATTATTCATTGTGTTCCCCATTCCATTCATCGAATTCTCCATCGAGCTATTCAATGAACGACCATTCATTGAGTTGTTCATTTGGTTTTGACTACTTCCACCACCGTTGACACCCATTGCATTCCCCATATTATACTGTTGGTTTCTTCCTGACGATGATGACATCATTCGACCATCATGCGGTTGTTGCGACATTGAAGGTGGCATTCCCATATTTGAAGAAGAGTTCCTGTGCATCTGCGGTGCCATATTGGGATGCATAGGTTGTTGCGTTGATGAATGTAATGGTGGATGAGAAGAATACCCTCCTTGAGGAGGGCCTCCCTGGTGTGGACCAGGACCACCGGGCATTGAAAAGTTATTGTGCCTGGTAGCCGGTGATTGTGGAGGCATCTGGTATGGCTGCCCACCCGGCATACCCCCCGTAACATTGCGATGCATGCCAGGATATGGTCCATTCATTTGTTGGTGCATTCCCGACGAAGGTGCGGATTGGTGCCCGGGTGGCATTGGAGGGCGTGGAATAGGGGCCGGTGCAACCCCTTGTTGTTGCTGCTGCGCTGGTACCGTACCATCAAAAGGGACCATCATCTTGTGAACGGGTCAAAACTTTCCGAGATCTTTTGGTCACAAACAACAGACTCGAATTGGTTTTTTTAACGAAAAATTAAACTGCCCGAAACAAAATGATCCCTTCTTCGAAACTAAAGAGGGGAAGAGAGAGGAAGAGAACATTTTCGAGGGGCAAAGAGATCAGTTTTAAGTCGTGAAAAAAATCTCATCAAGCAACGAAAACGTTATCCAACGGTTAAAATTTGATGGTCGATAAGTAAATTATAGGTCGCGGACAAAAGTTATTAAATAACATTCTGTCGCATTCAAGACAGCCAGGTCGCATTAAAAAAGAACCCGGAGCCGTAATTTGGGGTTCTTGACGAACATGGGTCAACAACGACGTCGGCCATCGACGCGAGGGTAGTATCCGCCGGTCATCGATACGACTGTCTAAGTTTCAAGAAAGAAACCAAGACGGTCAAGCAGATGCTGCCATGACACAGAGCGCTAGAGATTGCACTGGTCGCAGGTTTTTAATCTTTACTCACCGTTTCGACGACAAGCTGCTGAATGGAGACAGCTACTTCGTGACGATTCTTTTGTGAAACGACACAACTGTAGGGGAGTCTGCTGTGCGCTGGCCGGCTTTCCGGAATGGCGGTGGATGAAGGGAGTTTTCGCACCGTGTACGAGCACTCGTACAAAATTGAAAATGTCATGAACTGCACCAATTGTGCGTTGCGTGAAAATACCGATCCAAAATTGAACTCATAGTAGGTACTTGTACGTACCATTAGTAATAGTATTCCTACCTTCTACTTCGAAGTACTAGCGTTCGTACGTACCAATACTTGGGACGATTACTGTAACTACGATACAGTTTGAACGGGTTTGAACGGTACAAAAAGGACTACTAGTTAATTCGGAGTAAAATGCGTTAACCGTAAAAACCCTACCACACTCTACTGGGCAAAAAGGCATACTACTCAAACCCCAAAAATTATTACTAGTAAAATCACGGTTAATTTTAAAGCCCAGTTTTTTAGTACTGATCCTACATACATCTACTAGTAGTTTTTGGTCACTTTTTAGACTACAAACAGTTCAATAAGCTAAAATAGCTAAACACAACAGCTCCGGAAAGGCCTGTAATGAGATCCCCTTTGGGGATATGCTCCGTCATAGTAGTGTTAGTAAGAAGAGTGGTGCTGTGTGTCATTGTTAAATGATTAGGGGCCAGGGGGGAGCCAGTTCTCCATTAACAGCCGGTATGGCCAAAATTGGCCAGTTCCCAAGACCGGCTGCATAGTAGGAAGAAATAGGCCAGAACTCTATCAAAAAACAACTTTTGACCACCAGCAGACTAAGCGCCCAGACCAAGATGATACAATTAGTACATACAGATTGCTCCAGGTCATTGAGAAGCCAAAGGATGCTCTAGCGGCTTAGAACTAGTCAGCCAAAGTTACAGTAGTGGGTGGCAAAAATTCATGCATTAATTCTACTAGCTGTAATTTACTCTGAATTAACTCGTACGGTATGGTATGGTACGTACCACAGGTGTTCATATTGCGTGAAACGGGGAGCGAATTTGGTTTTGGGCGTTAACTTAGAGTTAGGGATAATACTATAATTCAGTAGGAATCAAGCTATCTGGTTGGCTAATTAGACATTAATAATTATCAAAAACTGCACAGATACCGGTAGGAATCAATATTTGCTTGATTTAAATTATAATTTTCAAATCTTTTTTTTTCAAATGCAAGAAATTACACTTTGCTTAAGAAAATTATCCCCTAGATTTCTTACTGATTCCTACGTACATTCCTACTTGACAAGCTCCTTCCGACTTCCGAACCATGGTGACATCCCCTTCGGAAGGCGACAATCCACCTCCCTGGCTCCCGAAGCACTTCTCGCAAGCAAGCAATCTAAACAAGACTATTCCAAGTTTATCAATTTCCGCCAGCTGGTGTCAGTTTGCCACAGCTGGATCCCCCTGTTCATCCAGAAGCACTGAGTGGTGGTATCTTCTGGTGTTGAAGTTGTTTCCGGCATCCATGCCGGAGAGCAATAACAACAACCCCAGCCCCAGTATTCCACCAAGACCTAGTTCAGAACAAAGCCTGGAGTATATGCTACATCATACTCAGTTTTAAAGAAGATTCCCCAGCAGTCTCCATGCAGTTCCAGTATCAGTTCCAGCCTTTTACAGACCAGAAGAAGATTCTGGTCACGACATTGTTGTTGTTGTTTCCGGCATCCGTGCCGGACAACAAAAACAACAACAACAACAACAACAACCCTAGCCCCAGTATTCAATCCTATTGAGGAATCAAGCCTGGAGTATATGCTACACACATACTCTAACAAAGATTCCCCAGCATCTCCATGCAGTTCCAGTATTTTATGGACTGGAAGAAGATTCCGGTCACGATGCTGGTTGTTGTTGTTTCTGGCATCTGTGCCAGATGGCAACAACAACGACCCTAGCCCCAGTATTCAACCAAGACCTAGTGAAGAACAAAGCCTGGAGTATATGCTCCATAAATACTCAGTTTCAAGATCTCCAGCCTTATCTCCATGCAGTTCCAGTTTTATTTACAGCCMAGAAGAGTATTCCGGTCACAACGTTGTTGTTTCCGACCCTTGGGTTGGACAACAACAACAACACCCCAGCTGATACTTCACCAGTATCATTTCCAGTACTATTCTCCCCCAGTTGAGTGCAGTCTGCCTCAGCTGGATCCATTCCAAGTTCTCAAGGACCGGAAGCTCAGTGCTTTCCGGTCACGATTGTTGTTGGTTCCGACATTCGTGCCAGAAAGCAACAACACCAACTCCAGCCCCCAGTATCCAATCCAGACCTATTTTGAAGAACAATGCTTGGAGTACACGCTACATACATACTCAGTCTCCATGCAGTTCCTATTATTCCAGTTTATTTATGGATGGGAAGAGTTTTCTGGTCACGTTGTTGTCGTTTCCAGCATTTGTGCTGGAAAGCAACAACAACAACAACCCCAGTTCTCAATGACTGGAAGCCCCAGTGCTTCCGGGCACAATTGTTGTTTTTTCTGTCTTATGTGGTGGACAGAAACAGCAACACCCCCAGTATTTAACCTCCTGACCAGCGGTGACAGAGTTAGTGGATTTATTACCAGTTTCTTCTTMAAGAAGATATTCAAACAGCTGCTCCTTTGGGTGGGACCAKCTGTAATTTGGTGAAAGAAGTGTGACATTTCCTTTTTTCTTTTTGGCTTTTATTTTTTTTATTTTTTACTTTTGACTACAACAAGTGTCCTCAACCACTGTGGTGTTGACTTGCCTTAATTGACTTGGCAGTGTGCGTGGCACACATTTCCTTGACCACTGCGCGTGGTAACTTGCCTACAAGTTGGGGCTTGAGCACCCCCAACCTACGGGCTTGGCAGTGCCCCTTTGAAATGATAATGACATGGTTCTCATCCATTCAAACTGTGAACCAACTGCTTTTATGTCCTCTGAGTCTAGCCTTGGGTCGTCATTGGCCTATCAGTGTGCATAGAACTTGGTCGCACCTCCACAAAACCTCCTTGGAGAGAGGTGCCTCCCCTTGGAGCAGCTAGAAGCATTCTTTCTAACAAAAGCTATGGTTCTGGCCATCCAAGTGCCTCTTCTAGTTCACGAGGTTAAATATAATTTTAAGACTTTTTTTTAGAGTACATATGTACTAGTAAAATATACTCCAGACATGGTTCTTCAATAGGTCTTGGTTGAATGCTGGGGCTGGGGTTGGTGTTGTTGCATTCCAGCATGAATGCCGGAAACAACAACAATCGTGACCAGAATCTCCTTCCAGTCTGTAAAGAATACTGTTGAAGTTGCATGGAGATACTGGGGAATCTTCTTTAAAGTATGTAGTATGTAGCATATACTTCAGGCTTTGTGCCTCAATAGGGCTTGGTTGAATACTGGGGCTGGGGTTGTTGTTATTGCTTTCTGGCACAGATGCTGAGAACAACAACAACGTGACGGGAAAACTCTTCTGGTCCATAATAAAACTGGAATACTGTAGGAATGGCATGGAGATGCTGGGGAATCTTCTGTGGACTGAGTATGTATGTGGCATATACTCCAGGGAGGCTTTGTTCTTCAATGGTCTTGCTTGAATGCTGGGGCTGGGGTTGTTGTGGTTGCTTTCTGGCACGAATGTGGGAACACTAGCAACTTCAATGCCGGAAGATACCGTACAGTGCTTCTGGAGAACTGGATCATTAGCTGGGGTAAACGGCCACTCGCTAGTAGTAGGGAGTGCTGATGTATATGGAATGGTCTTGGTTAGATTGCTTCTTGCTGTTTGATAGTGCTTGAATGGAGCCAGGGAGGTGGATTCTCCCCTTTGGAAGGGGATGTCACCATGGTGGGTTTGAAAGCCAGAAGGAGCTGGTCAGGTATGTATGTACATAGGAATCAGTAGGAAATCTAGGTGATAATTTTCAGAAGCAAAGTGTAATTTCGTGCGTTTGAAAAAATTTGATTTGAAAATTGTATCAAATGAATATTTAGTGTACCTTTTTAATAGTAGTATGGTTCTTTAAAGCAACAACAAATGGTGGCTGGTGGAAGTAACAACAACCTACTAGTAGCTGCAATAGTACAAGTAATACTCCCACTATCAGTAGTTCTAGTAGTAATGGTGGTACTCATGATACTATCACAAGCAGCAAGTAACAATAATAATACTACTAGTAGTGGTGGCACTAGTAAAAAAATTCTTAATATTATATTTAACCTCGTGAACTAGAAGAGGCACTATATGGCCAGAACCAGAGCCTCTCTGGACTAGGGAGAAGAATGTTCCTAGCTGCACCAAGGGGCAGCGCCTCACTCTGAGGAGGTTTTGTGGAGACGCGACCAAGTTCTATGCACACTGACAAGCCAATTAAGGCAGGTCACTGGACTCAGAGTACATAAAAGCAATTGGTTCACAGTTTGGATGGATGAGAACCATGTCATTATCATTTCAAAGGGCACTGCCAAGCCCGTAGGTTGGGGGTGCTCAAGAAGCCCCAACCCGTAGGCAAGTTACCATGCGCAGTGATCAAGGAAATGTGTGCCATGCACACTGCCAAGCCAATTAAGGCAAGTCTCACCCCAGTGGGCAAGGACACATGTAGTCAAAAATTAAATAAAAATAAAAAAGGAAACGTCACACTTCTTTCACCAAATTACAGCTGGTCCCGCCCAAAGGAGCAGCTGTTTGAGTATCTTCTCAAAGAAGACACTGGAACAAATAAATCAATCAATTCTGTCACCGCTAGTCAAGGGGGTAAACACTTGGGGTTGTTGCTGGTTCTGTTCACCAAAGACAGAAACACCAACCATCGTGACCGGAAAGCATGGAGCTTCCGGTCCTTGAGAACTGGGGATGGATCCACCAGCTGAGGCAAACTGCACTCAACTGGGGAAATTAGTACTGGGGTTGGTGTTGTTGTTGCTGGCCAGCATGAATGCCGGAAACAACAGCAACCTGACTGGAAAACTCTTCCGGTCCGTAGATAAAACTGGAACTGCATGAAGATAATGCTGGGGAATCTTCTTTAAGAACTGAGTATGTATGTAGCATATACTTTTTTGCTGTTCTTCAAAGGTCTTGGTTGAATACTGGGAGTTGGGGTTGTTGTTATTGCTCTCTGGCACAAATGTCAGAAATAACATTGATAACTGGAGGAATTAGTACTGGGGTTGGTGTTATTGCTTGCCGACACAAATGCTGTAAGCAACAAAAACTTGACCAGAAAACTCTTCCCGTCTGTAAAATACTGGAATTGCATGGAGATGCTGGGGAATCTTCTTTAAAACTGAATATGATGTAGCATATACTCTAGGCTTTGTTCTTCGCTAGGTCTTGGTTGAATACTAGGGGCTGGGTTTGTTTTTATTGCTTTCCGGCACGGATGTCAGAAATAACATTGACAACTGGAGGAATTGGTGCTGGGCTTGGTGTTGCTCTCCGGCACAAATGTCAGAAACAACAACAACCTGACCAGAAAACTCTTCCAGTCCATAAAATACTGGAACTGCATGGAGATGCTGGGGAATCTTTCTTAGAGTGTGTGTGTAGCATATACTCCAGGCTTGATTCCTCAATAGGATTGAATACTGGGGCTGGGGCTGTTGTTGGTCCTCTCCAGCATGCTGATACGGAAGTTCACTGATACTGTGTCTGCTGATACGGACGCTGATGTGGAGGATGCTGATACGGATGCTTATACAGAGATGCTTATACAGAGATGCTGATACGGACGCTGATACAGAGATGATGCTGATACAGAGATGATGCTGATACGGAGATGCTGATACGGAGATGCTGATACAGAGGGTACTACTAATACGGAGGATGCTGATACTGATGCTGACACGGACGCTGATATGTGTTGCTGATATGGAGGACGCTAACTGATACGGACGCTGATACATCATGCTGTTGCTGATACGGAGGACGCTAACTGATACGGAGGCTCACTGATACAGAGGATGCTGATACGGATGCTGATACGTGTTGCTGCTGATACGGAGGCTCACTGATACGGAGGATGCTGATATGGAGGATGCTGATACCGACGCTGCTAACTACTTGTCCCCCCCCTAAGAGCTTAGATAACTGTCATCATAGTAATATGTTTCTGTTATTGTCAAGAATTACCTTCATCGCATGCCTGTTTACTACCGTATGGAAATTGCCTTATGCTCGATGATGGAAGTAATTCTGCTCAACCGACTTCGCGGATTTTTTCTGTACGAATACGTACCTCATGGATTTTGATACTGTGGTGGTCCGTAGGATGTTAACGAAGTGTACGTACGTAGACTTGTACATGATTTCCTACTGTTGCAAAACTAGTTGCATTCTTGATTGGTACTACCTGCATGGTACCGGTACAGAATCTTCGGGAACAAACTTTGTGCTGGAAATGTTTTTTTCTAGACAAGTATCAACGAAATCGAAGTTGGTCGTCTGCAGCAAGAAGCTGGTGGACTTTTTATGTCACCGTTGAAGCCTTAAGATAGCAGTCTATTGGATTGTCCATAAATATGACGTCGATTTTGAAGGAGGCATTCGGAAGTGCTGAGTTAGATTTATACGAAGACGTGTTGCACGTAGACAAGGATTGCAGTCCGGCGCAACTACGCAGAGCATACTACAAACAAGCTCGCGACTTTCATCCTGATAAAAACAAGTCGAAGGAAGCGAAGCTGAAGTTTCAAGCAATCTCATTTGCATACTCGGTGCGTGACTAGATCACACCAGGTCACAATGTCTCTGTTCTTCCCCTCTCTTGTTAATCATTACCATTCGCCTCACATTCGCTCTCGTGTTTGTATTCTTTTATTGAAGCTCTTGAAAGATCCGGACAAACGCAAAGATTATGATAAAGATGGTATTATCCCATTCGATAACGAAGACGATGAAGCGAATGGACAATCGAGGAAATCGTGGAAAGAGTATTTTGACCTCATTTTTGGTAAAATCTCAACGGATGATATTGATAGTTTCGCTCAACAATATAAGATGAGTGAAGAAGAAGAAAAAGATGTGCTGCAGAATTACATCAAGTTTAAAGGGTATGCTCCACTTGTCGATCGATTTACGGATACGAACAATGGTCACAAGACTAACTTTTTTCTTTTACGTGTCTTCTGTGATCATTTCGATGTTACCGGTGGAACAAACTCAACGAAGCAGTAACCTGAAGAAAATGTTAGAATTTGTCTTGCTGAGTGACGAAAGAGATGTAGCACGGTGAGTGTAGATCCTTGAGTAATCGAAGCGACTGTCATCTTTGATCGCGACGCCATATAGAGTCTGAACGTATCTTTTTTCTTCGGGTAATGAAAGCTGGATCGAGGATTACATTCAACCGGCAATTGAGAAGAATGAAGTCGAAAATTTTGAACCAATGCTCACAAAAACACGATCACAAATCGAAAAAAAGATACCTCAAAAGACGAACAATAAAAAAAGCTTCCAAGATGTTTACTTTAATGATCCTGATGAAACTGAAACGGAGGATTCGGAAAGTGACTGTGCCACTAGAAGTAAGATAACGAAGCATTCAGGAAGATCCAAAGGACAGAAGGGGGGAAATAAAACTGTTAGAAAGGCGAAGTCAACCAAAGCAAAAACCAAGTCAAAGGATAGAAACATGGAAGATTTGATTGCTTCAATACGAAACAAAAATGGGCAGGGTAATCCACTTGCATCTATTGCCGCAAGGTATGGTACATCTTTGACCGAGGAGGATCCAATAGATAATGAACAATTCGAAAAACTGAGGTCAAAGTATACTAAAAAAAAATGAATGAAAAACAAATTGATGGTTCCAGTTAATCATGTATAAAATTACACCCCAAATTAATGCAAGATTAGGCCACCAACCAGTATAACTTCAGCAACCTAGTTCCAAGCCTCCAGAGTACCCATTGGGTTCCCAATGGCACTGATGTCTAACTGATTATATCAACTTCAATTAGGTACTTAGTCTGGTCGTCAAAAGTTGTTTCTGATAACAACTTTCCAGCATATTTCTTCACACCCAGGTCTCTGAAAACAGCAAAATTTAGCCATACCTGCTGATAATGGATGGATGGATCCCACTGGGCCTGCAGGGCCCATAACTGTGTAGCAGTGACACAGGGCACTTTTCCTAACACTATTGCAAGCTGATCCCCAAAGATCAGCTGCTCTATGGTGATTCCAAAGCAGCTTGTCTAATCTTCTTTGATCAAAAGAGCAATTTAACCCTTGGTTAGTTTTACAAGTTCAATTTCTACTGTGTGCAAATTTTGTTCCATCATTTTGCACTGTAATGTCTATTTTGACTTAAAATACTGACTCAAAGCATTTGTTAATCTTGTAAGGGTTAATTCACTCTAGTAGATATCTCTGTCTCTAATGGACACTTAAAGTGCTTTGTATCCACATGTACTCCTAAAAGTACTCCTAGTAATTAACAGATCATCCTTGTCATATAGGGGTTGAAGGCGTTATGCAATTAAAAAAAGGTTATTGGAGTCCTGTGTTTGTAGAACATAAAAAGGTACAACTAGAATCATACTTTTTATGCCCACTCGATGCCATGATTTTACAAATGGTGGTTTTTCACAAATGGACACCCATATGCATTGACAAGCACAAACTTAGACTCTGGTTCTGAAAATTACACCTAGATTTCAAACTGAGTTCTACACCATCACATAGCTGACCTTTACCCTCTAATATCCAATAGAAACAAGGAAATTCAAACTCAACATCAAACAATGGGAATTTGAAGAGGTTCACACCAGGTGCCTATACATGCATCGTCGATGAAAATGGAGACATGAATTTCCAACCACAGACAATTCAACCTCAGAGCTATCAGCTTGCAACACACAATAGCTCTAACTCCAGTGGAGGCCCTCCAAGCCATGTATCATTACAGTCCAACAGCAATGCAGGCTCGACCGTCCGATTCCAAGGACAAAGACAAGGACCAAATCAACAGTGGTAAGATCGGGAAGAGGCTTTCTTTGCAGCACTGCCTCCGACACCATCCACTCAATCACCAGAAGAAAGCTTTGAATTCTATGGTCTTGATAATGAAGAAGCTCTTAAGAATCCAACAGCAGTGACCTTACGCGCTCTGAAACCACCACCGGATGTACTACCAGCAGTCATTCTTGTGTGTAAAGCCATACAAGACCTACCAACCATGCAGAGTTCTTTTAGACAGTGGAAGCACTATGTGCCTGATTCACGAGCGATGCCTTCCACCAGGAACAGTGCCTTTCCAAGACAAATTCAGCTCAGTCACGACTACAGCCCAGGGAAGCTTCCACACTTCTAAGTATGTCTTCATCTCTAACATACGGCTTCCTGAGTTTGGCAATGGCAAATACATAAGAGGAATCAATGCAAGGCTTTTCTCAGCCCCTTGCAACTATGATATGATTCTAGGAAGAGACTTCCTACGAATGACCGGAATAGATCTCCTCTTTTCCAACCACACGATCAAATGGTTGGATTCAACCATTGATATGAAACCCATAGATCACTACAATGATCCCCAACACGTGGCAGAAGCCATGTGGATTGCAGAGGATGATGAGCTTTTGGATGGAGGATTCCTTGAGTTTCATCTACTCCCCCCAAGCAGCTGCCGACAACAAAACTGCAGCCAGTTTGGACAGTTACTTAGCGGCCGGAACGGCACTGCCAGAGCTACTGGAACAGAGCCAAACAGAATCCTGGACGCGCAGTACCAGAAAGTGACTCCCAAGCAGGTTGCAGACCATCAGGAGCACATGAGTGATTCAGAAAGACTAGCATTCCAAGAGATGTTAGCCAAACACCAGGAGTTGTTTGATGGAAAGCTTGGTCAGTATCCTCATGAAAGGATCCACATCGATCTCCTAGACGATGCAGAACCAGTTTACATAAATCCATACCCAGTCCCTTACAGACACGAGGATGTCTTCAAAAAGGAATGCCAGCATCTAGTCAATGAAGGAGTGATTGCTCCTACTGGCAATTCAGAATGGGGCTTTCCAGCCTTTATCATTCCCAAAAAGGACGACAGAGTCAGATGGCTTGTTGACCTCAGAGAGTTAACCAAAAGGATCAAGCGTCCTAAGTTTAACCTCCCCAGAATCCAGGACATCATGAACCAAAGAACCTGATACAATCACTTCACCAAGATTGATCTGTCCATGATGTTTTATTGCTTTGAACTGGATGAAGAGAGCCAGAAAATATGCACGCTCACTACCACCCATGGTAATTACAGATGTTTACCATTACCAATGGGCCTTAAATCATCTCCAGACTATGCCCCGGCCTTCATCACTAAGATCCTCTTTGGATTAGATGTTGAAGTGTATATTGACAATATGGGCATTTGGTCTCGTGGACCACTCAGCCAACACCTCTCTCAAGTGGATCCAGTCCTACAGAAATTGGCTGCTAATGGAATGAAGTGCAACCCATTGAAGTGTGAATGGGCGGTAAAAGAGTCTGATTTCCTTGGTTATTGGCTCGCCCCTACCAGTGTCAAGCCTTAGCAGAAGAAAGTGGATGGAATCCTAAAGATGGGAATTCCCCAGAATCAACAACAGGTCCAGTCTTTCCTGGGTGCTGTGAATTATTACAAGTCAATGTGGCCTCGGAAGTCACATGTACTAGCCCCACTAACAGCCCTCACAGGCTCCGGACCTTATGTATGGACACCTGAATGTAATCAAGCCTTTCAGGAAATGAAAGCTCTTCTTGCACACGATGCGATCAACACCTTTGCAGACTTGAAAGTCCCCTTTGACATATACACTGATGCATCTGATTATCAGCTCAGTGCAGCAATACTCCAGAATGACAAACCAATTGCATATTGGTCTAAGAAACTGAACAAAACCCAACGGAATTACACCACGATGGAAAAAGAGCTGTTAGCTGTCATCCTTTGCCTCAAAGAATACCAGAATATGCTCTACAGTGGCAAAATCAACATCTACACTGACCATAAGAACCTTATCTTCGGGACACTCTCACAGTCAAGAGTCCTCAGATGGAAATTGTCCCTTGAAGGCTTTGATATCACCTGGGAATATATTCCGGGCAAGAATAATGTTATTGCCGATTGTTTCTCCGGAGTGCCCAGAATGGAACCGTGCACTGTTGGGGACAAAGAAAAGAAAATATATGAGCAAAATAAAGGAACAGTGGTGAATTTCAAGGAGTTAACAGCCCAAGTGGATCCGGAGGATGTCTTCTATTTCGAGCCTGAACTATATGAGTGCTTGCTCAATTTACCACCAGTATCASARATGGAGAATCCAATAACAAATGCAAGCCTTTACACTTATCAGCTCACAGACCCACAGTGTCAACACCTACTAGAAACTGATCTGACACGCTATGTCAAGAGGAGGATAGGAACCTTTGAGTTACTCACAGTATCCACAAATGATAACAATAATTGGAAGATCTACTTGCCCGGTGGACTCGTGGAGAGCACCCTCAGATGGTATCACCTCCTATTGGGTCACTGTGGAAGCACTCGGTTATATGAAACTATCAGTGCTCAATTTTATGCTCCACGACTCAGCATAAGATGCAAGCAATATCAGTGTTCGGATGAGTGCCACAGATTTAAACAATAAGGCCAGGGACATGGCTTATTACCAGCTTGGGAAGCCCAGCTTGTTCCATGGAATGAAGTATGCATGGATCTGATAGGTCCTTGGAAAATACTCCTCCCGGATGAAACTGAATTGGTGATTAATGCCCTCACTTGCATCGATCCAGTCACTAACCTATTGGAAATCATCAGGAACAACAACAAATCAAGTGAACATGTTGCAGAGCAATTTGCTAACTGTTGGTTGTCACGATATCCCAGACCCAACAGATGTATTCATGATAATGGCAAAGAATTCATCGGAACCCCATTTAAACAGCTATTGAACCAATACAGAATTAAGAGTGTCCAAACCACTGTGAAGAATCCACAGGCAAATGCAGTCTGTGAAAGAGTTCATCAAATGATTGCCAATGTTCTGCGGGCTACGCTTCATACCAAATCACTAGAGGAAGCTGAATTCGATGAAGATCAACTAATCGACAATGCCCTCGCCTCAGCAATGCATGCCACCAGATGCGCAGTGAATGCAGCAATGAAGACATCACCAGGAGCTCTGGTTTTCAACTGTGATATAGTTATGGATATCCCACTGATTGCTGATTTAAACCTTATCAGAGACAAAAGACAACACCAGATACTAGATGAGAATCTCAGGAGAGAAAATGCAAGGAGATTACCTTTCAAATATCAGGTCGGACAGCACGCCTATATGAAATTCTATGAACCAGACAAACTGTCCCAAAGATTACATGGTCCCTATCCTATAGTGGAGATCAACACTAATGGGACTGTGGTGTTGCAGAGGAGTGACAATGTACGTGAGACTGTAAATATTTGGCAGCTTGTCCCGTATAAAGGGATTGCCAATGCCACTCCTGAAAGCCCAGCAACAGAGGAGGACCACCCTGTTGAAAATATTGAAGATATGATTGCTACAGTTTAGTAGTAATACTGAAGGCAGCATTCCTGTGAGGGATAATGCAATGGATGTGTACGTACTGTATTGGAAGTATGCGTACGTACTGTATTGGGAGCATACGTACATACCATGCTCGCCTGGAATAGATGAATATACTATTCCTACCTACAAATCATAATGTACTATTCATATATATATATATATATATATATATATATATCATACGATCCATCCTATTGAGGATTGTAAGAGGTCCAAGATATCAATCAAGAATACCTCACGAAGAACAAAGATGTCAGAAGTCCGGAACAGAGAATCC